AGGAAAGTAGAATGTTGTAGAAGACTTACAAATTAGTCTTGGTTTTCTTCAACAAAATTTACAAATCATTACCAAGTTCCAATTGGAGTGTTACTGCATCTCCCATGTGTTGGGTCATCAACTGTTGTTATTAATAATGACCAATGCTGTACAAGGATCAGGGAACATGAGCAGATACAAAGCCCCACAGAGAGTGGCCAGTGTTGAGTAAGAGGGATAAAAGAGGGGTTTGACATTCTATACCATTTCCCTCCAGAAACTCAACTGTTCTCAGGAAGAATCTCAGGAAGATACAGTCACTGCTTTCGTGAATGTTTTGTGTGACTCAATGGTCAGACCTTCTGACCATGAATGGCTTTGCATAAAATGTATATCCATTTGCATAAGAACCATGATATCATTATATACCCTACAATACACAAAATTAATGTTAAATTATTCAAAAGTTGAAATACTAAAACTTTCATAAGAAAATGTTAGTAATATAATATGTAGTAGAGGTAGCAAGGATCAGCAATTCAGGAAATGCTCAAAGAATTAATGAGTGGAAATGAGTGAAATTAAAAACTTTCTGCACATTAAGGAAACTACCAACTGAGTGGAGATATATCCTACAGAATGGTAGAAAATCATTGACTTAAGTATTTCACTCAGGATATTTTTACCTAGAATATATAATGGAAAAATAAAGATTAAATAGTCCCTTAACAAACTTCCCAGCCATCAAACAGGTTAATGAAATGGGCAGTGAGAAGATATCCATGGGGGTTAATGAATTTTAAAAGTGTTCAATATATTTAGCTATCAGGGAAATTCAAATTACAAATATTTTGAGACTCTATTGAAACCTTTAAATGATTAACATCAAGAAAATAGACAACAACAAATACTGACAATGTGGGGAAAAGGATTCTGCATTCTATATTGATGGGATAGAATGTATTGGGTTCATTATAAAAATAAATACAAAGCTTTCTCAATATACTAAAATAGAATTACTAGGTAACATAGTTGTATAATTTTGGAGCATGTACCCAAAGGATTCTATGTCCTACCCAAGAGAAGTTTGTAAATCCATGTAAACTGTTGAATTGTTCACAACAACAAGGAAATTATGTCCATCCAGAAATTCATCAGTAGATAATGGAAGTTTCCTATATATACACAGTGGAATTTTGTTCATCTGTAAAGGAGAATGAAGTCATGAAATACTCAGGAAAAACTTACAAAGAAGTCAAGAAGGTGACAGAGACACAGGAAAACAGAAACCACATGTTCTTTCTCAAAGAGGGACATGGATAACAATGTCCACATGTACAAAAGTGTTGAGAGTATGTGTTTATAGGATATGCTTCCAGAAAGGAGGTCAAAAGATGCAGAAGAAAGTGGTATTGAGGAGTCAGGGGGGAGGAAATAGGACAAATGTATCATTAAAGTAAAAAGAATTATAAATTTATAGAGAGGTGCCTGTGGATTTGGGGGAAATGGACAAGGAAAGTGGAAGAGGATAATCAATAAATTTGCTTGAAAATACCATAATGACATCAAGTACTATGTTTGTTAATTAAAATATTTAAAAATTAAACCACATGATGAAAGGAGAGAACCAGCTCCCCAAACATCGTCTAACCTCCACACATGCATGCTGTGCGATGTGTCCATTCCTTCCCAACAGTCCCTGAATCATGTGATGAAAATTTAAAAGACATTAGAGTGATGATTGGCAGGGATGCAAAGGGAAGGTGATGAGTGTTTGTTTCTTGGGCACAGAATTTTGGGTTTGTGGTGAAATGTTCTGGAAATCAGCTGCATATCAATAGGATCATTTTTCACATGACTGCACTATGCACTGACAATAGTTAATATGATAAATATTTGTAGTTAAAACTTGATTCTAATTTAAAAAGTAAGTGCACTGTGGTCAATAAATGAGAAATTCTTGCAATGTTGTGTACTGCAAAACTAAGGGGATGGCAGTCAATTAAGATGACACTGACTTGGACTCATAGGTCAGTGTTATAAAGCTTAGCATCATTGATAAACTTGCCTTTTGTCTACAAGCAAGAGTTAGAAGAGTATTAGATAGGTATATATAATATGACAAAATTTTGATGCTGTTATCTTGGTTTGAGATTAACTTATTCACAGAATTACATGACATGAGGAAATATATGATAGCTTTGAAACTCTAGACAGTGACAAGACAAGAGAAGTAAGGAAAGCCAAACATACTTGTGTGTCTTTTCCAGAAGAGAAGAGGCCTAATTCTTCACATGACAATAGTACTTTATCATTATGTTCTTGCAGATAACACGTGAGCTGGAACCACATAACAACCAGTTTGGAGGTATATTTAGTGAAACATAGATACAGAATCAGGAAAACAAGATTCATGTTTAAGAATAGCTAAAATACCAAGAAATAAATAATATTCCTAGTATGCATCTATTCCTTACTTGTAATTCATTCCATTTTTAACTCTTAATTTTCAAGCTTCTATAAAACTCATCTTTCCTAGTAGAATAGTCACCCTATAATTCTATCATTGATAAAAAATTTACAAATTCCTATAATCTAGATATTTAGATATAAAATTAGAATATAGCATTTTCCAGAAATATATAAATTGATTCATAATAGGAATGAAAAGATTAAAAGTACTTCAAGCCATTCAGAATGAGATGGGGATATAGCTCAAGGCTTGTCCAGTTGGCAAAATGCCCTGGTGGAGATTCCCCAATATTATCAGTAAACAAAAAGAAGAATCCAAATAAATCTTCTCAATAAATCTGAAACTTAGGAAGAGACACACAGAAAGAGATAGAGAGAAGATGAGGGAGATGGAGCCAGAGCCAGAGAGGAGAGATAGAGACAGAGGCGACCAAGCGAAGCTAGAGAGATGAAATGAGGTGATATCACTAGGAGATACATTACTAAGATATTTCTACTACGAGAGACTCATGGGAGGAGTAGGGTTCACACACCTTAGAGAGGACAGAAGACAGTTGACTCTGCCCTGAGATAGAAATAGCCCCAATTTTATCTAAAAACCCATTCAAATTCCCTGTTCTTAAACCAACACCAGTTTCCCCTACCCCACCTATTCCTTTATATCTTAACTTCCTTCTTTCTCTCTTTTCTTCCTTCCTTCCCTCCTTTCTTCCTCTCTTTCTATCTTCTTTCCCTCCTCACCTCTTCCTTTCTTTCCTTTCAGCAGAGCTGTTGAAAGATTATTTTAATAAAGATTTCTTAAGAAAAAGCACAATTAAGATAGGTACTGAGCTAGAGAATAAAACTTATCCAATAGCATAAGAAGTACTCCAAGAAGTACTTTCTAATGTATTTAGTTCTTGGTATGCCTATTCTCTGGTCACTCACCTTAGTCCTCGGTGACACCATGATGGTAGGTGTTGCCATGAGAAGTGAAACTCTGCTATAACTGGGATGGTACACTTTCCCTGATTTAAAGGTTCATGATCTCTTGGTACTCTTTCCCAGAAGATTGGTGATTTTCAACTCACTTCTAGACTCATGACAGCATCTCCACAAGGATCTGAAGTAACTTTCCAACACCTTGGTCATGTCACAAAAGAAAACAAAATGAGCAACTCCAAGGAAGCAATTAGGAATTAGAATGGGAACTTTTCTGTCAGTCCTTTGGGCACAAAGCATATGGCAGAGAGGCATGCAGAAGGAACAGAGCCCCATTGTTATTAAAATAGAGGCAAGCTGCATGGCCTTGCCCCAAGAGGTACTTTTCCTATCACCTTGTATCCTAGATAGTATCCACAACTCAAAACTGTTAGGATGCAAAGACAGTCAGGAAAAATGCCTACCTGAGGTGCCTATTAACATATCAAAGGAGAAGCATTCAAGAGATGGGACAATATTTCAGTGGATAATAGTGTTTGTTGTAGAAATCTGATGACCTGAGTTTGTATCTAAGGAACAACATTAGAACACATTTCCAAGGGTTGCAGTGATGGCTCAGTGGTTAAGAGCCTTTCCCACTTTTGCAGATGACCAAGGTTCACTTCCAAGCTCAGATAGAACAGCTCCTAAGAGCTTGTGATTCCAGATCCTGGGGATCTGATGCCCCTTTTGACATGTAGGAGCTTCTTCACATATGTACATATATATATACTCAAGCACACACACGTGAAATAAAAAAAAAAATTGAAAGGCAGATCCAGAGGCAGAGACATCTATCATATGAGCTCCTAAGAGGTTGGAGAATGAAGACAAGAGGATCTCTGTGAGCTTCTGAGTCACCTCACCTGGGGTTCAAATCATAGAAGAGAGTGTGTCTCAAATAAGGTGGAAGGTAAGGCCCAACAGCCCTACACAGAGGTACCCACTTACACATAGGACACACACATACACACATGAAACATAACACACAGGAGATACACAGAAGCATCAACATTTATTTACTAATGAGAATTAAGATAACAGTCAATATTTAGGCATTTGGTAAATTTTAGTGAACAAACTGTCAAATCACTCATTTTCTTTACATGCCACTTGGAAGCGACAACAGATGGAACAACATAGAAGTGAAATGACAAATTTTCACTGGCTAAGTGCTAGTTAGAAGCCACATGCTTCTTGATGTGCAGATGAGACCCTGAAGCAGGAGTCAGTCCTGCTAGCCTCTAATGAGGAAGGTACACAGTTCAGTCTGATGTGTGGCAATTCCTCAGGTGATGGTGGTATGTGGATGACTGGCAGAAGCTACAGTTACACAGACAGCAGGTGTAGGGCTTTTCTCCTGTGTGAATCCTCTAGTGAGCCTGCAGGCTGGTCTTGTGTCTGCAGGAACTTCCACTTGTGTTGCGTGAGAAAGGCTTCTCTGGTTATGTCAGATCTCATGAACTCAGAAATCTAAGGCTTGATAGAAACCATTCTGACAAATGGGACAGCCAAATGGCCTCTCATTTCTGTGTCTTCTGTGGTGGACTGAAAGGTTACAGGGATATTTGAAGATCTGGGGACATTCCTCATATTTGTAAGGTTTGAGGTTTCTGTGGAGCTTTGACCTGTACATGTGGAAATTTTCTCATGGTTCTGGTATACAGGGACCCATAGGAACTCTTCTTATAGCTGGAGGTGCCTTGAATTGCTCTTCTGACATCCTGAGGTGTTCCAAAAGAAAAATCAACATCTTCAGGCTCAGGATACTGCCTTCTCTGGATAATGAGAAGGGAGCCAATCACATTTGAGAATATGCACACAACCACATCTTTCAGCATTCCAGAGAGAGTTGTGGCCATCATCTCTCTTTACATGCCCAGGGGAAATAGGAGAGTCTGTGAAACTGTGCTTGGGAAGGGATACCCTCAAAATACCCCTCTGCCGTCCAGTTTCCCTGCTGAACTGTCGCCAAGAATGTATCTGGTGGGATCGGCAAGGGTGTCCTTGCATTCTCTTGTGCTGGAGTTGTTGCTGATTTCTGTTGTTTCAAAAGCTTTTGACTTCTTTGAGTACACGTTCTGAGGAAAAAAGGGATTCTGTTGTGGAATATTAGTTTGAGATGTGTTACATTTGTCTATGCCGTGGAATATTTGTTTAATGATGCAAAGATGTGTTGCATTCTTTTATGTTGCCTGTGTTTAACTCTGTAAAGCTGTGTTATTTTACTGTCTAAAACACCGGTTGTTCTAATAAAGAGCTGAATGGCCAGTAGCTAAGCATAAAAAAGAATAGGCATGGCTGCCCTGGGCAGAGAGATAAACAGGAAGAGAAATCTAGGATCAATAGAATAGAAAAACCAGGAGTGAGAAAAGGAGAAAGAAAGGAGGATGCCGGGGCAGTCACACAGAAAGCTAGGAATTAAGAAAGAAAGAACGCTATATAGAATAAAGGAAGGTAAAAAACCCAGAGTCATAATGTAGTTTAAGAGAAACTAGATAATTTAAGTTAGAAAAGCTGTCTTGAAACAAGCCACTCTAAGGTCAGGCACTAATAAGTAAGAATAAGCCTCCATGCATTTAATTGGGAGCTGGGTGCTGGGCCCCCAAAGTGTAAAGAGAAAACCAATTACAGGCTTCCCGTCCCTGCATGGAGAAATGAACCTGTAATGGAGGCCAGATGACCATTGTCAATGAATCTGTGGAAGACAGAATCCCTGACCTAAACCTGATTGCACAGGATCCCCAGACTGTGGGCTGGTTTATCTGTCTATCCCTCATCTCTAATGATGTCATCCTGACATCCCCAGATTTCTTCCCTAAAGTCACTATTTACACTGTGTTTGCAAGTGTTGAATCACTGTTCCTAAGTGGGGGGGGAACAAAGTTAGTTTCTTGTGAGCTCAGGCTACAGTGTTGTCTTCAACTAGTCAAGACATTGAAGGATGATTAGCCTTTCTTTTAGGGGCTAGCCTCTGTTTACCACATGGGCCTAACTTCATCTGATCCTCCCTCACATACCTCACATACATTGTCTCCACAGATGCACACCGCCTCTGCTCTTAGGAACATGACTGGACATTATGGTAGCAGTTTACCTGGAATTGGTTTCAGTCATGAAATTCTCAATTTAAAACAAAGCCAAAGCTGTAAAGAGTATAAATGTGGAATTAAACAAAATGTGAAGTGAGAACTTGTGTATAGAGTAAGAACCTCAAATAAACCTCAGTAAGTGGTGGTCATCATTGACAATTCCAGTACCTGGGAAACATAGGATGTATAATTTCCTTGAGTTTCTGGCCATCCAGGGCTACACAATGTAACCACGTCTCAAACAACAAATGACCAACCAAACCACCCAAATATTTAAACAAAAACACCATAACTCTCAGAAGTGATTTGTGCAATGATTGTGCAATGTATGCTGTGGGATGTTCTGTATGGCAAATGTGTTGCTGATTAGTCAATAAATAAAACACTGATTGGCCATTGGCTAGGCAGGAAGTGTAGGCGGGACAAGGAGGAGAATAAAGATGGGAAGTAGAAGGCTGAGTCAGAGAGACACTGCCAGCTGCCACGATGTCTAACAGCATGTGAAGATGCCGGTAAGCCACGAGCCATGTGGCAAGGTATAGATTAATGGAAATGGATTAATTTAAGCTGTAAGAACAGTTAGCAAGAAGCCTGCCATGGCCATACAGTTTGTAACCAATATAAGTCTGTGTTTACTTGGTTGGGTCTGACGGCTGTGGGACTGGCAGGTGAGAGAGATTTGTCCTGACTGTGGGCCAGGCAGGAAAACTCTAGCAACAAATGGCGTCCAACGTGGTGGCAAGAGTTTCCATCTAAAAACTGAGAAAAAAGATTCTAAAACGGAGCTAAAAACAGTTCCTAATTGTCTCTCTCAAATGAGCGGCAGCTGCTGGTTTGAGCTACTGGTAGGTTCCTAGCGTGTGCGCTCGACCTGCAGTATGGCAGGAATGAGGCCTCTGCAAGTGGCACATTAAGCTGCATGGTGGATTTAGCCTTTGCAGGTACAAAACAAAAAAAGAGGTTTCTGGACTACACGCTGCTTGGATAAAGACTTTAGTTCCCAAATATTAATTCCCCAGTCTCTCTGTCACCATGTAAATAAATTACATTTAAGTGTGTCCCTCAAACCAGCAAAGGGTTTATTTTGCTATATTTATGCTAATTTAGGGCACTTGGTATTCTCCCTGGTAATGGTTTTGTTGGGGGCAGTACTTTCTCATGAATATAAAAAAACTACAACACCTTCTCAGTACTTCTTCTCAAAATGACTGTCTTCCTGAGTTAGCGATCTCTCACACCAGGAACTCACCTTGACAGGAGGCTCTAACACTCATCAAAGAGACCTTCTGTGAACCTCCCAGGGTTCCTGCCACTTGATTCCCACTTCTCTTTCAAGACAAATTTGTCCTCATAGTTTACAGTTTTGGGTAAAAACCTCCAAGACCAGTTGAGAAATCACCTGCTGCTTGCACTGCTTTTCAGGCTACAACCATGAGGGAAACATCTCCCAGGATCTTTGCAGCCCCTGCTTTGCCCAATTATTTGGGGGAAAGTTGAGCTGTGTGCCTGAGGAGTTAGAGATTTCTTCTCCAGACTGGCTTGGAATGAACTCTGCATTGTCTAATTCAAGGTCATTTGCTGGTGACTCTGGCTTAATAGATTTTTTGAACAGTGAAGCCATTCTGGTGAGGATCCTCAGAAAGAGTCAACCATGACAGTTCCATATCTGCCTTGTGACTTAAGGATCTGTTTCACCAATTTGTGGATGTATAAAACCTATGAATTAAAAAGAGAAGAGACACATGATTAAAGTAAAAAAAAAAGAGTAAAGCTTAACCATTATAGTTGGTTTCATTGTTACCTGACAGATGCATACATAACAGCAGCAAAAACTAGCAAGGAAACAAAACAGGGGAAATTAACCTTTCCAGATGGTTCAGTCACAGATGGAATCCTAACTCAGGCCCAGCTCTGTGTCTCACGTGCAATGCTTGAGGCTTTTCTGGGAGGAGATCACATCCTAAGCAAGCATTGCAAGTCATTGTAGTGAAAGGGGACAGTACCACACTTAGGGAGCATCAAGACTGACTTCCATCTCCCAGGAATTCTGATCCTGTGCTCTCATATAGTGTTCATTCCAAACCTGTCAGAAGTTCCTGATTTCCATAGTTTTGATCCCAAGTGCTGCAATGAACAGGTGAAAACCTCTGGCAGTGGAATTAGACAGAAGGCATTTCCCAGGAGGTGTCTGCAGCCCTACATAGAAAAGACAGGCTGGACCAGGCTCAGCAGTGTAGGCAGAGAGAGGCAACTGTTTCATTTTGGGAAAACATAATGTTTGATAGACATGACTTGAACACTCTAGTCTGGGGAGAAAATAAAACTGTGTGGTCAAAATGAATAGATTTTTTTTATTCCTTCATCTTTTTCTTTCCTTTTCTATTTATTTGGTGTTTGCTTGTTTTTGCATAAAGGTGTCTTGTAAGCCAGTCTGCATACAAACTCACTAAGTAATTAAGAATGACCTTGGACTCTAATTCTATGGCTTCTACCTCCCCAGTTCTGGGGTTTCAGAGCTGTTCCACTACTTCAAGCAACCTATTTTGTGCTAGTCTATATTGTTTTATTTTGTCTTTTTGATGCAGTGTCTCCTTGTATAGTCTTGTCTGTCTTGGAACTTGCTATGTAGAGCACACTGCCTTCATACTCACAGAGATTCACCTGCCTCTGTACCCTGAGTGCTCAGATTAAAGGTGTGTGGCACTGTCCTAGTTAGAATTTTTAATGCTGTGAAGAGACACCATGACCTCAGCAACTCTTACAGAGAAAACATTTAATTAGGGTGGCTCATTTACAGTTTCAGAGGTTCAGTCTATTATCATCATGACAGGGAGCATGGAGGCAAGCAGGCAGATGTGGTACTGGATCTGAGAGTGCAGGCATCTTGCAGGCAACAGGAAGTTGACTGACACACTGTGAAGTAAGTATCCTGAGCACAGGAAAACTCAAAGCCTTCACCCACAATGTCACACTTCCTCCATCAATGCCACACCTACTCCAACCTCACAATACCTTCTAGTAGTACCACTCCCTATGAGATTATGGGGGACAATTATATTCAAACTACCACATTGCACTCTCTGGCCCCCATTGCATCATAATAATATCAAAATGCAAAATGCATTTAGTTTGACTTTAAAAGTCCTCATAGTCTGTCACAGTCTCAGCAATGATTAAAAGTCCAAAGTTCAAAGTCTCTTGAGATTCATACAATCACTTAAATATAATCCTCTATAAAATCAAAAGAAAAAACATATCACATACTTTCAAAATATAATGGCACAGAATATTCATTATCATTCCAAACATAGGAAAGGGAGCATAGTGAGGAAATACTGACCAAAGCAAGACTAAAATCCAGCTGGGCAAACTCCAAACGGCACCATCATGTCTCATGTTGAAATGATCTTCAGATGTCCAGTTCTGTTCAGTTTTGTTGACTGCAATACACTTCCTACCTTTGGCCTGGTTCCACTTTCTTTTAGCAGCTCTTTCTGTGGGTATCCCACAACTCTGGCATCTATAATACCTTGGGTTCTCCTAGGCAATTTGGGCTTTCACTTCAAACCTTCACTAAATGGCCTTTCTAGGCCTCCGTTCAAGTACATCTCTGACACATGCTTGGTCTCAGCAGCTTTCCTTTGGCTCAGAGGCTAATTCCATATTCTATTTCTTCTATCATTAACTCTAATGCCAGATCCCCATGGTTGAAGCTGCCAAGTTCTTCTTCTTACTAGGTTGGAAGATTCCCCACACACACTTTAAACAACATCTTCATCAGCTTTCTGTCTTTCTATGCCTGGGCTTAGCTGTCCTGAAACTTGCTTTGGAAACCATGTTGACCCCAAATTCAACGATCTGCCAGCCTCTGCCTTTCCAGTTCTGGGAATAGAGGTGTGCCCCACCACATCTGACTCTAAGATTTTCTTCAGCTCCTTTCCCAAGTTGGAAACTTACCTGGTGTGAGATCTTGCCTAGAGGTTACCATT